GGAATGTAGTAGTTTGTTCGAGAGCAACGAAGAGAACAGAAAAAAAAGCAACAGGATAAAAAAGAGAAATAATATGTATGAAAAAGAAAAAAACTAACAAGACCTATGTGTGAAATTATTGCGCAAACAAAATAAAATATAACTATTGCACAATTCTCTTGTAGATTTCATTTAATTATATTAATATGGTCAAAGTTCGCAAAGGATCTAAACCACCACCTGATGGATGGTAAGTTTATTATATATATATATAAGAATTTTTATTTTTTACGATTTATTTTAGGGATTTAATTGAACCAACATTAGATGAATTAGAAGCTAAAATGCGTGAAGCAGAATTAGCCCCACATGATGGTAAACGAAAAGTAGAAACATTATGGCCAATATTTAAAATTCATCATCAAAAATCACGTTATCTTTATGATCTTTATTATAAACGTAAAACAATTAGTAAAGAATTATATGATTATTGTATTAAACAATCAATGGGAGATAAAAATTTAATTGGTAAGTGAAATAGATTTGAATAGTATTTAGAATTTAACTATTTATTTTTATTTTTTTTAGCACAATGGAAAAAACAAGGTTATGAAAATCTTTGTTGTCTTCGTTGTATTCAACCACGTGATACAAATTTTAATAAGAAATGTATTTGTCGTGTGCCAAAAGAAAAATTAGAAGAAGGCAAAGTGGTTGAATGTGTTCATTGCGGATGCCGTGGATGTTCCGGTTAATAAATATCTTATTATCTTTTTTCTTTTTCTACAACTATATTGACATCAATATCAATAGTCTGTCATGTATATGATTGTTTATTCTTATTTTCTGTTTATTGTAAACACGAGTGAGAGAGAGAGAGTAACAGAGGATTCTAAATAAAGAAAAGTTTTTTTTTCAGATATGAAATTATTTTTTTGTTTGTACACATTAAATATATTATTTGAATAATAGATAGACATCATTAAAATGTGTAAGAAAATATTAGATTCTAAGTTTAGAGTGACTACTCTTGATTTAGTAAAAATAATATACTTGCTTACATAAAACGACTAATAGATCGTACGATTTTAAAACTAAAGTATAATTTCAGACAGCTATTTATCATATTTAACTAAACATTAACATGTCTTTAATGTTTAGATTATAATGGCTGTAACATATATATGTATACTCATTTTGATTTCATTTAATTAAAGTGTCATTATCGTAGAAAAACTAAGTTCAATTGCTGTTAAATTTTGAATGCTTTTAACTAAATACGCATCGGTGCGTTTTTTTTCCTATATATTTTTATTATACTATTGCTAGTGAAATTCAGCCATACAAAACAGAGAAGAACTGCTTTACTTGTAACTAAATCCTTTCTATGAATGTCATACTTGACATCATAGAAGTCAGTTAAGTGAAGATGTGCCTGATACTTCATAGATTTCTTTTTTTTTCTTTGGAATCCTTTGTGAATATGTTGATTAATTTGTTAAAAAATATTTCGAAACAAAAGAAATATTTTAAAATTTTTCAGCGAATGGTACATTTAATCATAGAAATAATATAAGCCGCTAGAATCAACGTTCCTTATTCTTTGCGTATAGAGTCATCTTTTGAAGCTTTTCAATTTCGTCGTATAACCATAAAATTGATTTTCATGACTTTAAATATGAAAAACAAATTACCTTTTTTTTCCTCCATAAATATAATAAGCGAACTAATATATTTTCTTCCGCTAATTTACAGAAAAAAATGAATTCTTTTTCTATATTAATAAGAATTTTTATAATGTCCTGATTTAGATAAACAGCTTCTTCTTTCGATGAAATAAAATCTTTTTTTTCTTCTTGCATGTCTTCTACCTTTTTTTATTCTCCTTTTACTCTCGCTGATACGAACATCCGCAAAAGATTTTTTCCTGTCTCAATGTATGTGTGTGTGTGTGTATGTGGATGAACGCATTTTTTCCGTTTTCTTTTTCTCCATTTCTCTTATCCATCACATCATCGCTAGTTTTATGTTGTATGCATGAGCACATCAACTTCATTCTATTCTAGAATAAACATCTAAACACTCACTCTCGAAGATGCCTCCGACAACATCAGTTAAACCTCGTGCTGTTGTTCTGTCTGGACCAAGCGGGTATAAATTCTTTAAAGAAAAACATTTTTTTATCTTAAACTATAAATTCTTCTTTTAGATCGGGCAAGAGTACATTGATTGCTGAATTATTTAAAGAATATCCAACAGCATTTGCTTTTAGCATATCTCGTATATTAATCTAAAATATTTTCTAATTATTTAATTTGTTTTTTTTTGTAAATATCCTAGATACAACAAGATCTCCTCGAGCTGGTGAACAGAATGGTCGAGGTATTTGTATCATACTTTTATTTTTACAAGATTTTGCGATTTTTAATTTTAATTAGAATATCATTTTGTTGCTCGATCTGATATGGAAAATATGCTTAATCGTGGTGAATTTCTTGAATCTACAGAATTTTCAGGAAATCTTTATGGAACAAGGTTATTATTCAAAGAAATATTGCAATATATTATTTGTATATTTTAGTAAAAAAGCTGTTGATGATGTTGCACAAACAGGTCGTATATGTTTACTTGACGTTGATAAACAAGGTGTAAAAAATATTCGAAAAACAAATCTGAGTGCATTATATATTTTTATAAGCCCACCAAGTTATGAAATCCTTGAACAACGTTTACGTGGTCGACAAACAGAAAATGAAGCTGCAATTGAAAAACGTTTAAAGGAAGCAAAAGAATCAATGGAATTTAGTAAAGAACCAGGCATGTATGATCATGTTATATTAAATGATCAACTTGAAGTTGCATATCAATCATTAAAAAATATTCTTCGCAAAGTAAAAAACAAAATTTCTTCTTTTTATCATTGCCTAAAATTAATCTCTTGTTTTCTAGGATATCGATGGTGTCTTGGAACAACAAAAAGCTACTAATACTGCCAAATAGATCTTATATTCCAAAATCTCTATTAAGACATAAACAGTGAATTATAATACCATTTAATCCACCATTCTATTTTCTTTTTTTTTTGTATTAATCAGCTTTTTAACTATTTAGCTAAATATATTCCTTAATCAAAGTGAAAATACGATTAGAAAAAAAAGAAATTTCTTAGTTTTGATATTAATCTAAATGAATAATAAATATCATGGCTTGTGCTATAGGAATCCTTATGCAAAGAGTTTCAAAATGGTGATAGTAATTATAACATTTTCAATTTTTGAATTTCTGATTGACTAACCTTTAAAAAAAACTATTAAATTTAACAATTGATTTAGCAATTATTCTAGATGACTAATCAAGTAGATCAAAAACGTGTTGCTCAAGCGGGTGTACATGATAATCCTGATTTTGTTGTAAAATATTTAGAAGAAATTGAATTATTAGCTGAGAATGTTCTAGCTGAACGACGAGAAATTATTGAATTAAATAAACGACGTGATAAATTACGTGAAGCTAGCCGGTATGTATGTATAAAAATTGACTATTTACATGTATATTTTCATTTTCATAGTGCTATTCGTAAACAACCAACAAATGTAAAAATGAATTGGATGTGTTTAAATAATAATTTTCTTGGAATGTCAACAAAAGATTGTATACGTTTAATCGATCGAGGTAAAAAAGTCTTCAAGAATTGTAAAAAAATAATAATAATATTTTCTTTCGTTTAGATTTCGATCAATTAAATATTGAAATAAATCAAGCAGAAAAAAAATTAAAAGAAAATATTAAAAAACTATATGATGCAGAAAAAAAACCTGAAATTCGTGGTTTTCATTTAAAATCTTTATCACGTGAAGAACGTCAAGAATTCGATCAATTGTTAGAACCATACATTTGATATTTATATGATATATATATATATTTAAATAAAATAAAAAAGACGAAAAAGGAATTTAAGTTTATACTAATGAGCAGTAGAAGCTCGTCGTTGTGGAAATTGAAATCCTGAATATGTTTGTAGCGCTTGTTTATAATTTTGTCGATTAATTTGTAATTTAACATTTTGATGCATGACGGAATCGGTTGGACGTGATTTAGGAAATTTATTTGGATAATATGTTTTACCATCTTTGTTAGTTTCATTTTTAACTTGAGTATACAATGTGCTCACAGCATATGGATCTTTTTCACTACGTTTAGGAAATTTCTCAAAACAACCATCTTTATTACCACCGATCTAAATAAAGAAAACCTTTTTTTGAAGTAATAAAACTAAATATTAAACAAACCGATTTAGGAGGTGAACTATATTTAAATGGTTTTCTATCAGATGGTGCGGATTTGGAGCGTTCTTTAGGTTCACCACGGCTTTTAACAAATTTACCATCACCACCAAATGGATTACGATCAAAATAAGCTTTTGGATGCATATTTAATCTAAATACACCAGCTTTCAAAGCCGATTTATGATGATTAAAATCTTTCTAAAATAAAAAGTTTCAAAATCATAAAAAAATCGAATTTTATTTTTCTTACTCGTTGTGCTTCTAATGGTGCATCATAATTATCTGTTTTATCTTTATATGTATATGGAGGATCTTTTTCAATACCTAAATTTGGATAACTAAGAATAAAAATGAAATGAATGTAAAATATGAAGACGAGAAATAAATTCATCATACCCATAGCCAGTTCCTTTTTTTGATGGATTAATTTTGAAATTGGTTTTTTCTGGTGGTGGTTTTTCTATATCACGATATTTTTGTTTACTTGGATCCAAATCAAATACTGGACCACCAATTGTTCCAAAAAACGAACCTTGACCTTCACTAAAATATATAAATCAATTATATACTCAATAATGGATAAAAAAACAATTTCCTACGGTGATCTAGCTCGATACATGCTGACGAATGGTTTATTAACAATATTCTTCTTTTTTTCTTCCATACGTGCTCGACGACGCATTTGTAT